TGGTTTCCAAATCCATTATTTTGGACTAAAATTTGAAAATTGGTTGGGTAATTGCTGACAATTTACAGTTTAGTAAATAACTTTGAAATGATGTGATCCAAATCATTTTTTTATTCTTTATTTTTGTGGTACAAATATTTAACACACGCTGTAATGCCCCAACAGCAGTAACGAGGAGTAGAAGATACAGATTTGAACAAGTACAAGGCATATAGGATTACTGTAAAAGTAAAAGAATATAGGATTAATGGTTCATAAACGTTTTACAGTCTATGTTCTGTTGATATAAGTTTTACAGTGCTGCAAAATAGTAAAGTGTGTTATATTATTGTTAATAAAAATAATAGTGTACTACAGGTACTCGTTTTAAGAGACGGAAGCAAAGTTGCATTTCTGACTGATAATATAAAAACCCTCTTGGCAGAGCTGCAATCACTTGTATATGTGGTGGGGGCTGTCGAGGGATTTGTCTGGCCTAGCTAGTGTCTATAGCTTAAGCTGCCCAGTGTTGTCACTGGATTTCCCCCTCCCCTCTGTGCTCTCCAAGCATTCCCTCCCATCCTGACACTTTTGCTGAGGGGCCAAAAAAGGGAGGACGCAGAGGGACCCTTCCTTTCAAAAGCAAAGTGAAACCAGTGAAAAATGGAGGCAATTTGACATTTAAAAAAAAAACTGTTTTCTTGAGGTGTAAAATTGTAAATTTTTTTATATATATATATATATAGACAAAACACACACAGAGTAAGGAAAAGACATAATTGTGCACCATTACAATAGTCATCTAAAATCAGAGCAATTAAACTTTGTCCTTAAGGAATTATTCGACAACAAATTACAGGGGGAAGGACAGAATAAAGGAAACCATACACAAAAGAGGAGGATAATTTTGGAGCAACTAAATCACAATTACATTTGCAGCTACAAAGATGAGCCATAGTGGGTTACTTTTACTGTTAATTAATAATGTGTATCTGTTATAAAACATATCTTTATATCTAGTACTTTGGCAAATGAATTATCAGCGCAGTTCATGTCAACTTAGAGCTTCGAAAAGGCTAAAGATTTGGTGCATGCTTCCCAATTATTATTATTTATTTTTTTTAAATCGAGTCATGGGGACAGTCTCAATAATATGGACAATGAACCACATCGGAAACAAACATCTTGAGCAAGTTTAAATCAATAGTTGGCCATCAAAGATGTCAAACAGAAGCAGAGAGAAAACTTCACAGGATAGTTGCTAAATGGCACAAAACTATAGTCTCAAAAAACAACAAATTTCAGTCAACACTCCTGTGACTCATCTGCAACAAAAATTAAATATATATTTTCGGAGCTTTATAAAACCCATTGCATCCAATGCAAACACAGCTATTGAAGTTGCTCAGGTAATGCACAGGTAATGCAGATGTTTGACTACCATATTATTTGTTTAAATTCATCTAGCAGTGATAATAAGCTGTGAGCACGGGGCTTAGCCATCCCCAGGACTATTGTCAAACTTTGGACAGCTTGGAATGTAGAATGCGGAAATCGAACCTCTGTGGCATGTGAGCATCTGGACTTCAGGTGCTAATAGAGTGTAAACTTCTGTAAAAATAAATACCGGTAAATTAATTAGAATGATTGAAAAGGAAACGAGGGAAGGGGGTCTTCAAAAGTGTGTTGCCATAAACAAAATAAGCTGTACTGTTTTTTTGTTTTGTTTTTTTTGCAATTCAATGTTTATTGAGTTTTACAACTTTGTAAAGAGATGCAGAGATCTTGACATTTCCATAAGTTAAACAGTATCAGAGTAGCCCTTATGCCTAAGATTATATTTTGTTCAAATATGGGGGTAGAAGGAAGTAAAAAGGATTAGGAAAATAGCCTGTGAGCCTCTTACAGCTAGTTTTAAGTGTGTACTAACTAAGCGAAGAGTACATAGGTCTTGGAGTGCACCTATTGTCATGAGTGATAGGGGGTGCTTCAAGGATTCGGCCGATACAGCCTCTTATTCAGGATCTTGTTTTGGCACAGTACTGCTAAATGGTTGCATACCCCTGGTACATGAGCAGCAATTGGAGGGTTAGGGCAGGGCTTGACTTGCTTGGCAAATTTGCTTGGAATCTAGGAGCCAGCTAAAAAAGTTAGGAGCCAGGATTTTTTAACTAACAAAGCTTCATTTTCATTGACAAAAATACAATACTTAAAGGGACACAATAGTTACCAAAACCACTACAGCTTAATGTAGTGGTTCTGGTGTCTGTAGCCTGTCCCTCCAGGCTTTTCAATGTAAGCACTTGCTTTTCAGAGAAAAGGCAGTATTTATATTGCTGCCTAGTAACACCTCTAGTGGCCATCATTTAGACAGACAGCCACTGGAGGGGCTTCCTGGGGCAGTGCTACAAAGTGTTCAGCACCTACGTTCAGCATTTCCACGCTTTGCATAGAGTCGCTGAATGTTCCCCATAGAGATGCATTGATTCTCAATGAGGAGGTACTGATAGGAAAGCTTTGGCTTGGTAGAGTTCATCAAGATTAATTATGTCAGCCACGGCATGACCGACATGGCATGGGAAAAAAGGTGAGTAAAATCGCTTTTCCCATGCAATCAGAGGGGGGCTGAACAGACCCACACATACTAACAGACAGACACCGTGACAGACATTCACACTGACAGACATACACACACACACTGACAGACACACACAGATGCTCTGACAGACACACACACTGACAGACACATGCACACACTCTCACACACACTCAGAAATTATAATTTCTTTAAAATTATTTTAATTGGAATCCACCCAGCCTCCCTACCATTGGGACAGCTCGAGCTGTCATGTTCCAGCTCTGCTCCCTCTCGTGCACTGTTTAGTATCCTGGGGCTGGAATGGCATCATATTCCGGCTCTTGCCATCACTGCAGGGTGTTCGAGGGAGTAGAGCCAGAACAGAGCGAGAACTGCCTATTCTCTCCCACGGCCAGTTGGCCTCCTGCGTTGTCCCTCACTGGAGGCCAGCTGGGAATGCAGTGATTATGGGCTGTATTGGTAAGGGGCTGTAGGGGTTGTAAGGGGTACCAGTAGGGAGTTTAGTGACTGTAGTTGTGGTTTTAGGGGCTGTAGTAGTGGGGTTAGGGGCTGTAGTGGTAAGGGGCTCAGGTAGGGGGTTTAGGGGCTGAAGTAGGGGTATAATAGGCTGTAGTGTTAGGTGGGGCTGTAGTAGGGAGTTTAGCCCCCTACTAAGTGGTAAGGGGCTGAAGTAGGGGGTAAAGGGGTTGTCGTAGGGCTAAGGGCAGCAATTGCCCCCTCCCTGAAGCTTACCTTGGGCCAGGGAGGAGGCGGATCCTGTTCCTTGGTGATCTCAGGTGCCGAGTGAGCAAAGCAGAGCCAAATTTGGGGGTGGAGCCAATCATTAAGGGTGGAGCCTAACATGAGGGGCGGGGCCTAACATCGCAATGCACCTGTAGCTACAGAGCGCCTAGGAGCTGTGCACCCTGTGCAACCGCCCAGGATCAGCCCTGCTCTCAAGTATCTCAGGAAAGTGTCAGACCATTGCAAGGGAAACCCCTGGCAGATCGGTCCTGGCACAGTCTGAAGCACTGATATGTTGAGAATTGAGGTTTTAAAGCAATTGATAAGGAGGCTTGTAAGCGAGCTATACATGTCAAACTGCCTGATAAGGTGGGGCAGTGTGGTAATGGGTCTGTCACATAGAAGAGGAGGTCATCAGCATTCATGGTAATCTTATGTACGGCCTTATCTACCATAAGGCCCTTAATGGTTGGGTTCTGTCGAACCATGTTTAGGAAAGGTTCGATGGCAAAGACAAAGAGCAAAGGCAATAAGGGGCATCCCTGACGGGGTCCATTGTGAATAGGGTGCAGTTAAGGTCGTGTTGAAACAAATTCTGGATTATTTTGACTTACAGAGAGTGCTAAAAAAGTTGGGGCCATCGGTCTCAGAATAGCATAAAATAACTCCCACTTCACCCTGTCTAAGGTCTTTCCCACGTCTGTTAATAGCAGGAAGAGGCTCTTCAAGGTCTAGAATAATGGATAAGAAATAAGGTCCATGTGATTTTGTCTCTCGGTTTTCTCTTAGGAATTAAACCCACCCTATTCCAGTGGATGAGGTTGGGTAAGTAAGGATGCAGGCGTCTCATGAGAATCATTTCAAATCGCAATTCAAATGTGATATAGGGGGGTAGTTTGCGTATATTGCTCAATATCCTTGTCCTCTTTAGGGATAAGTGAGAAGTTCTCAGTCAAGGTCTGCAAGGGGGGGTGGGGGGGAGAGAGAAGGAGGCGGGGTGGGGGGAAGGGGATGGAATAAAACATTGGCAAACTGCTTATAGTAAATAAGAGAGAGGCCATTAGATCTGTCCTTTCTCGTCTTGACCACTGTAATCCGCTTCTCAGTGGTCTTACGTGCTCCCAACTAGCGCTGTTACAGTCCATAATGAATGCGGTGGTGAGGCTCATCTTCCTGTCCGCCCGCACATCCCACTCCTCACACTCGTGTCAGTCCCTACATTGGCTTTCTGTAAGATATAGGGCTCAATTTAAAATTCTGGTTCTTGCTTTCAAATCTCTACATAATGCTGCCCCCACCTATCTATCCTCCCTAATACACAAGTATGACCCGTCTAGGCCCTTACGCTCTGCTGAAGACTTACATCTATCTTCTCTCTGTAATCCTACCTCTGATGCTCGCCTTCAAGACTTCTCGAGGGCTGCACCATTTCTGTGGAACTCACTTCCTTCTTCCCTTAGATGCTCACCCAGTCTCCACTTCTTCAAAAAATCATTAAAAACCCAGTTCTTCATAAAAGCGTTTCAATTAAACTGTTAATAGCTCCCGACTGATTCCTCTCTTGCAGTCATTAGTCTAATACTATCATTACCTTTTGTGTCACTTTACCCCACTCCCTCTAGCATGTAAGCTCATTGAGCAGGGCCCTCAAGCCCTCTGCTCCTGTGTGTCCATCTTGTCTGGTTACAACTACTATGTTTGTTTGTCCACCCACTGTAAAGCGTTGCGGATTATGTTGGCGCTATATAAATAATAACATAATAATAATAATATAATGTGTAATGTATAATATCTAATATATTATATACTATGTAAAATTTAATATATAGTAATAATAAATATAATATACTGTGTGATATATAATACATAGTAATACTATATTATATGTATTATTACTAAATATTATATATTACATCGTATATTATATATTATACATTATTCAGTATAGTATATTTATTAATATATACAATATAATACATATACTATATTGTTTAATATATAATATACTATACTGTGTAATAATATATAATATAATGTACTATACTGTGTAATATATAATATACTATACTGTGTATATGCTGAGTATGTTATATTATATGTGACGAGACCAATCTCGCCACATTGCATTGGAGAAGCCTGGTTGCTCGCCTGCTGCCTTTGGACTATGGCCCCCTTTTAAAAGACTTTATTTTTGCCTGCAGAAAAGCTGTATTTGTGCTTTTCTGCCTGGGGTTCGGTAGATTTGTTTGAATGTGTTATACCCCAGATAGGAATCCCATGGAGCCCATTCGTATGAAACTGAGACTTTGGCTCCATGGCGATTAAACTGTATTTGTGTGGTCCGAGAGCCATTCACTTAATAATGTGCGCTCAGACCTGAGCTATCTGGGGATATGTGAAATGTCTGTGTGTTATGTGTAAAATGTGACTTTATGTATTTTAAAGTGTTTTGTGTCTTTTGCAACCATGTGCTTAATGGAGTCTTGTGTCTGTCCTGGGAGATAATTGAATTACTCTCCAGGATAGAAGACTCTGAAACTGGTTTTGGGCCAGAAAGCCATGCTTCATTTAGTCACAAAGGACTTTCCCTTAACTTTTGAACCCCTGGTCTGATTCGTGCCATTTTTTAATATGTTGTTCCCCTGAATGGATTGATTGTGTATATGTAATTTTATGTGAATGTGATGTATGGTTTTAGAGTTATGAAAGTTGGGTAGAAAGTATGTTTTAACTGTATGTGTAATTGAGTTTCCTCTCTGGATAAGGGGAGGGAATATGTGGGATGTAACTGTGATGTGATTGGTTGTTTTATACCTCCCTGTGGGCGGTCCTGTATTTGCAAGACTGTAATAAAACCAGGCTGGGTGTGCCAGCACCTCAGACCACTGCTTGACCCTCAACACGGAGCCTTGTCTCGTTCTTGGGGGGATTCACTGTATGCTGTTAGAGACTGATTACCAGGAGTGTAAGCTTATTGTCTGCTTTTCCTGTTCGTCTGCTAGCAGCTATTTGGGAGGTTCCAGTTCGGGAGTTAGAGTGCTATTTTGTATCCAGTTCAAGAGTTTGGTGTTCTGCAGTAGCTGTTCCTGTATCTCTGGAAAGGGGGCTGATCGCCTAAACGTTTTTTTCCCCTTTTTTGCAAAACGGTCCGTTACATTATATATTACACAGTATAGTATATTATATATTACACAGTATAGCATATTTATTACTATATATTACACAGTGTATGATGCCATGTAGTGTTATGTTGTATATACACTATATAATATATATATAAAGATGAAGCTCAGTTTATCCCCAGGCTTGGAGTAGGGGGAAGACCCCTTAATTCCAGGATGGCAGCCC